TATATATATATATATATCTTTTACTTATAGGAAATGGTGACATCAGAAACGGAGGATATATCAGGTTCAGAATGTGATGAAATGGACTATTTTGCCAACAAAAATAGATCACATGTTAGTCTTCAAGTTTATGACTCTCTAATGCTTTGCAATGTATTCTCTCTCTCTGATTTATTGTTAGTGATTCTGGCCACTCAAACCACTAGGGTCATATGCCCTTTCAGTGTAGTACATGTTTTTGCTCGGGAATGTGGTGGTAGTCTTCCCCTGCTGTATGGTGAGATCCGGCACTGACCTACCATCGTACCAGGATATTCCCCAACCAGGTATCTCCCACCAGTGCCCCAGCCAGGACAAGTTCTAAGCTCCCGTCCGGTCTCCCAGCATGTGTGGTAGTTCAGTGCATGTTGGTGTAAGTGGGTGTAAGGAGTGAGGATAGGTCGAGGAAGAGGTAGGAAAGTTCGTGCATGGTCTGTAGCCTGTTTGTTAGGGTTGTGCTTCAGCAATCATCTAAAATTCTCCTCCAGACTGTGATTGAATTTGACATAGCTGAAAAGTTAGTATCAAAGATCCTGTCACCATCAGATCTAGGACCGCCCGGTCAGAGGGACTGTATTGACATCAGCGGATGCCCTGAACCATTTCTCCCAGTGTGTCTGTTAGAACCCCTTCTGAAATGCGAGAATGTCCTTCAGAGCTAAAAAGTTCTGAGTTCCCCAGTGTAACACATTCTAAGAGAGCAGCAATTACTAGGCCAATTGTAGAAATACAGTTCGACTGCGTAATCCACCTGCCCAAATTTGATGTAAAGTGTCAAGTCCTTTGTAAATGTCAAAGTTGTAATGTCAAAACTTTTATCAAGTGCATAAAATGTAACATATCTTTGTTTATCATGGGGGAAAAGATTGTTAAAACAGATTCAACTATGAATTTTTCATTTATCAATGATATATTTACTTGAAAAAAAATGGTACTTTTTGTTATGATTATCAATAGTTTAACTAAATTGACTTACAATTTAGTATTTCTTTTTATGTTTAGATCTTGATGAATAATTAAAATAACCTAATACATATCTTCTTAAAGCCTTTCTCCATAAAAAATCTCAATTTCTCACCAAGTGTAGTAGTCACAGTGTCCTGTATATGGGTTGATCTACATTTTGGAGGTACATGAACTGAAATGTTGTTTTGGTGATGACGGATGTTAAACTAATGTTAAATTAGAAAGTATACCAAATTTCAATTAAGGGATAAACCAAGAACCCTATTATTGCCTTCTCTTTTCATTTATGAATAAGTATTTTTCAAACTGTTTTACTCAAGGTTGGGAAATATTGTTATCCAAAACAGAATTCTGTTATAATAACAACACAAGATGTTGGAATCTTATTCATGAAATTGGAATCCTGTTCATTCACTATCAACAACTCACTACAAGAAATTCACATACAATACTTGTACATCATTTTATAACACATTACCTAATGGCATTAAACAATTAAAATTGCAATTGCAAATTAAAATGTGAAATATGATCATTTCTGTAGCACAACTGTTGTTTCTAAATTATTAGAAATTACTGAGCATCAAAAAGGAAAATATTTTGTTTTAACAATTCTTTAAATGGAATAGTTACTGTTTGAACTGTCTAATTCTAAAAGACTATGTTTATATATACCTGTAACAATTACTGCATTCCAGCTTGTCAGTGACCTCCATCTTGATCAGGTTTAATGATACATCATGTTCCAGGTTTCTTTGATCCATTAAGCAAATACTGAGATGGCCCCCTTTGTTTTTCTTCTTGCTATAAATATAGCTTCACTATCAGTCAAAGTTATCTTGAGCTCTGGGAGGTATTAGTGGGGAAATTTAATTTCTTTGTTTACTGTACAAACAATTATCATTTTCCAATCCTCCCAATTGTCCTTGCAATAGTAAATAAATTGCTTCATGCAGGGCATGATAAGGGATGAGCCAAAAGCTGAAAGCTCATGAGCCATTGCAACTGTTTTTATTATAAGGGACCGAATATTTTTTTTTTTATCAAATTTTGCCAAAACACATGTTGCTACCAGTATTACAATTCAACTATAAGTAGTACGAGAAGCAAAGGTAAGGATTCTGTAGCTCAATAACATGTGCTCAGTTTACACTTCCACATAGATCACACAGTTTTTGATAGTTCTTTCATGTTAAAGAAATGAGATTACTTTTTGAAGCCTATTTTAAGAGAGTTTGAGCAACTTTTACCAAATCTGTAATTTATAGGTTTGTAATTCCAGAATGAAATTACATTTTTTGTAATGCTCATCTGAATTAGAAGGGTAAGCTTACAGATCAGTTTTATACGTGTGCTCTCTCACTAACCAATTTTGTTTTTCTTAAGTTTCATTGTCCTGAATTGATGTGAAATTAATTTGTCTACTTACTTGCAGTTATCCATGAAAAGAACGACTTGTGTGTTGACTTCTCTTGGAAACGTGTTCGCCTCTTTGATCAGCTTGCATGTCAATGTTTCTATGATTTATGTATAGAAAATCCTGTTGCAACTGTTGTGTCTGTGAACAGTAAACCAAAAAGCCGATGGAGGCCCTTACCGCTTGACACTGTTGTAAGTTGAATAGTACTTTTTTAATATACAATAGGAAGATTTCTCTTGGTCTCTTTCTGCTATTGCTATGTATAGAAGAAAGGTATCTAGTAGATGTTTTTCATTCTTAAAAATTAAGTTTTATGTTTGCAAGTACTTATCCTTATTTTCCTTAATTATCTCCATTTTATTTCCTTAAGTGTCCTGTTTCAATGTTAAGTGTCCTGTTTCAATTTGATGGAATATGTTGATGTGCATTAATTTTGAAAATAAAAAATAAATACTACATTATAGTTTATTAGAGGTCTTTTAATTTGCAAAAAGATAATCTCAGAAATGTCTTATACTGCAACTGATTTCACTGGTAATGCTTATTATGTGATGCAATGTCTTGGCCAGATTTTTTATGGCACTGTTGAAAACTCACGCTGTAGCTCTTTCATCAGGATTTTATTTATAATTGGTCCACTAAGATAATAGGACATCGTGTGAAAAGTTAATGAATTTCTTAATAGACTGAACAACAATTACATAAATATTAAGTAATAAAATAATTTTGTTCCAGGAATTAGAAAAAGTTGGGTCAAGAAAATTGAAAATAAATGCAAAAGAAATAATGAGAATAGCAGAAAAATTATATACTCAAGGTTTTATTAGTTATCCACGTACAGAAACCAATATTTTTCCAAAGGAAATAAATCTTTCTAATTTGATAGGAATGCAAACCGCAGATCCTGCTTGGGGAGGTAGGTTTTGAATAAGTATTTTAAGTTTGTAAGGATTCAACTTAATACTTTGCATGCCCAACAGTTACATTCCCTTTAGCAATCTGCACTAAAATAGATGATTATTATTTATTTATTTTTTATTTATTTATGTGAACATGTATGGACATACATTATTCAGAAAGTAAAGATTTTATATGAATCGCAACAATCATTGCAGGCTTGCCTAATACTACCACATTAACTATTTACTGGATATTGTAAAGTTTTAACATAGTGCAATTAATGAAGGTATTCCTTCTTCTATTAAATATATCACAGAGGCAGTCGTTTAGCATTCTACACATTCTACCTAACGGACAGTTATCAGTACAGGTTCAAAACCTCTCTATACTCCCAAGCAAGTGCAACATATCTAGATACTTGTTGAGGAACTCAGAAATTCAATTGTTCCAAAAGAATTGAGCTATCTATAAGCCCATGAATAAGTTTAAATAAAAATAAAATGTCATTTAGATCTCTTGAGTGATTTTAGTAAGGTAGGCACTGCCTACTCTGATGAATATGTACTAGTTTAATACCTTCAATAATAATAATAATAATAATAATAATAGTAATAATAGTAATAATAGTAATAATTGTAATAATAATAATAATAATAATAATAGTAATAATAATAACAACCATAACAATAAAAAAGCAAAAATTAGAATAAAATTAACAATAAGAATATCAATAAGAACTACAATAACAATAATAGTTAGTTTATTCAGGTTGTATGTACAGATACAGATACAAAAATATATAGTGCAAAAGGTATACAATGCATATACTCAGCACCTCGTTGAGGCTAAAGCCTGTGCGCAAACCCGCAAATCACATTATGTACATGATATCGCAAAACGTAGTACATTTGTATAAAAATGAAAATATAAATAGAAAAAAAAAGGAAAAAAATTTTATAAAGATAAATACATTAGCACTAATTACATAAAAGAAAAAAAAGAAACTTTATAAAACTATCCTCGATGAAATACAAAAGAAAAATCAAAAAAACTAACATGTTTTCTAATTACAATACATATATAAAAGCTAAAATATAAATTACAATAGGTATAGTATAACTTAGATGAAGGATTTCAATGCAAACAGGGCATTACTCAATAATGGTCTTCAGAACAATCTCAGAGGAGTTTACCAACCAGTATTGTATCATACTTTTAGTTGATATACTATTTACATTCAAGATTTTCAAATTATTGTAAACCTTATAACTGATATATTCAAATTTCTTCTACCAATATCCTTTTTAACGTCTGGAGGTTGCAAATATAGTTCTTTTATTGACCTTCACTTTTACTTTATAGATATTTTGTAAATAAGAGAAATTCTCCAAGACTGACTTCAACATTATATATTTCCTGATATCAGTTATTTTATTTTCTCTTTATAAGATTTCTGAAGAGTATTTTTTATCCTTTTTAAATATCAGTTTAATAATTCGTTTTTCAGTATCACTCAGAGGTTTCAAGGAATTAGCATAGGTTCCTCCCCAAGCAATTATACCATATGTAGCGATAGACCATTAAATATCATTAGAAGTTGTTTTGTATTAAATAATTCAGTAATTTTATAAAAAATATAAATGAGATATCTTAATTTATTTGCAGTCTTTGATATTTGGTAACCCCATTTTAAATTGCAATATACAAGAATACCCAGGTATTGTATATGATATTCTCCTTTTATCTCCGGATAAGTACAGTTTTGTACATTGCAAGAATTTATATGTATCCTCTATGTACAACGATCCGGTACACTGTCCAAATAGCTGCCATATGTAGAGTATACTGTCTTTGTTATTTTAAGGCTAAGATGGTTTGCACATAACCAATTAGCAAACAGATTTAGGTTGACTTCAGCTCTTTGAAGAACGTCAGTCCATGATTTACCATTAACTATAACACAAGTATTGTCAGCAAAAGATATCAAATCTCCCATGGGCAAGGTGAGAAATATGTCATTTATGTATAGAATAAAGAATAGTGGTCCCAATATTGTTCCTTGTGGAACTCCACAAGTAACCACTCGTTTTTTACTGGTAACATTGTTTATTTTCACTACTTGTTTACGATTAGTCATGTAACTTTAAATCAAATCATAAGTAATTCCACAAAAAACATATCTATAGAGTTTCTATAGTTACAATTCATGGTTCACAGTATCAAATGCTTTAGCCAAATCCAGATAAAGAGATATTCAGGGCATACTCTTATCTATTGAAGTACAGATCCGTCTTGTTACATACTTTATAGCATCTTCAGTATTTTTACCCTTTTGAAAACCAAATTGGAATTGGTTTATAATATTATTGTTTGTTTAAGTAGTTTTCAAATCTAACTTTTATTAACTTTTCAAATATTTTCGCAAAATTTGAGATTAGTGAGATAGGTCGGTAATTAGTGGTTCTATCTATATCCCCTGATTTGTAGATTGGAATAATCTGACCTTTTTTAAAGTGTTCAGGAAATATACCTGTCTCAATACTTTTATTAAATTTATAAGTTGATGGTTTTAATATATGTTTCGAAACATGTTTAATGACTGAAATTGAGATTTGACCAACACCCGCAGATTTTTTTACTGTTAATGGTATTTACAGTATTCAATATTTCTTGTTCCGTAACAGGATCAAGAAAAAAGAATATGCAGGGGATCGATCGGAATTCAATGTAGTCTGTCATTATGACATCCAGATTTTTAGCCGTATCGAGACCAACTTCAACAAAAAAGTCATTTAACTTGTTTGCGATATCAACATCATTTTCAATGAAATGATCATTACAATCATCAAACAATTTTTTAATTGGTGTATTATCATTTTTCTTTTTGTCAAGTGTTTCATTTATGAAATTCCATAAATGTTTCTCATTGACGGATATTTCTTTCAGAATACCATTATAATAAGTCTCCATAATTGAGCCATTTTAATTAATACATCTCACCTTTTTTTGTAATTAAGATACCTGTCTTTAGTAGCATTATCATGCGGATATGATCTTGATTGTTTCTATAAATGGTTTTTAATTTTACAACATTTAATTAATGCTTTTGTAAATCCATGGTGTCCTAGGTTTAGTTTTGGAATTCAATTTAAATGTTACTTTAGATTTATTGACTGCATCCTGTAAAATTTGAATGAAATTAAAAACAGCTTTATTTACATTTTCTTCTGTAAAAACGCAATTCCAATTTGTATTCTTTATAATGCATAGAAGCTTTCTGAAATTAATTTTAGATTTTAGCATATGTTCTTTAGTATTATCATGTAATTTTTTGTCTGCATTTACTAATAGTATCATTGCTTGATGGTCTGTCAGTTCTAAGTCACAAACAAACGGTTTAACCCTTATACTTGTATCAATTTCACCAAAAATATGGTCAATACAAGTACTTGAGTCTCTGACGACTCTTGTTGGAATATTTATATAAGAGATTAACCAGAGTCATAAAAATTACATATTCAGTTACTAAATTATCATTTTTTAATAAATCTAAATTAATGTCACCAATAATAAGATGATTTTTAAGGTTACGTTGATAAATTGATGTTCTTTGAGTTCGTTAATAAAGTCAGTGATTTCCAGATCATGCAATCTGTAAAATGAAGTTATAAATGTGCTGTCTGTGTTTGTTGATATCCCTGTAAATATAGCTTTAATTTTTCCAATATTGATAACACTGTTTCTATGTTTGATAACTTTTTTTATATAAATACAATTTCCATCATTTCTATTTAATTGACTGCTTGTAAAAAACATGTCATAACCTGAAATCTCATATAAATTCTTGCAATTAATATCAAATGTCTCTGTGCATATAATAATTTCCAGTTTGATTATCATTGAGTTAATAAGTAAATTTAAACTGTCAATATTTTTATTTAAACTTCTAATGTTCACATGGAAGATAAAAATTTCATTAAAACCTTGTAAATGATCATTCAATTCATGCAAACCATCACATTTAACTTATACCATTTATATTATTTTTATATAACATTTACTTTATTAATATTTTTAAAGTATGCTAAATTCATTAAGGATACTTGGAAAAACAAAAAATAAATACAAAATAACAAAATTATTAGATTTCACATTTTCATCCAAAAAATGTGCTAGATATCAGCATCTAGTACAAAGTGTTAGCAATTGCACGATTTTTATAATACTTATACGTGCCACAACAACGTTCATTGAAGGCATAGTGATTAGTGGATAACTTGGATTTAAATTTATCATTAGCTATCGAACAATTTCTTCCCTTTTTTTCGTCGGGACAGTTTACACCTTCATGATTTCCAGCACAATAAGGGCAAACAAGATCATTGTTGCGCTTCTTTGCACTGTGACCATACCCATGACACTTAAAACACCTGTTTACATTGAAATCCTCATACATACAACATCTCTGACAACCGATGTTTACAGTTTTGTTGTTAATTACTTTATGGAACAATTCAGGTTAAATTTTCTCATGAATCGTTTATGTCGATTTCGTTTTGAGGTTCTGAATATAAACAACTTTCTGTCCACCATTTTGTAGTCAGGGAAATTTTGTCTAAATAAAGCTGATTCAGCACTACCCTTTCAAACTGATCCTCCACACCTACAATCTTGATTCATGGATTTCTCAAGCTTCTTGTCTCGACTTTACAATCATTAGTAAAAACCTTACTCAGCTCAGAAATCACTTTTTCGGTATCGGACTCATGATTACATTTCACTATTACAGATCCTCCTCTAGTCTCTCTAATAGAACTAATGTTTACATAGAGTTTCAATATATATCAATTTTTGACTTCATCTTCTTCGTAATATAACCTTGTTTAACTCTGCTTTTAGGTTTAATCACAATTGGTGGGACCTTTTTCTTTTTTGCATAAACGCTCGAAGTTTTAACAATAGTAACATAATTGAGCTTTTCGTTATTTTCATTGACACAAAATTTTGATTCTAAGTTGAGTTTCTTCATTTCTTCGACTAAACATATCAATAACTAAACCTCTCTTTTCGCGTTAATTTCACTATCATTGTTCACAACATCGTTACATTTCACTAATGATCCATCTAAAAAAAATATGCCATTGTGTCTTTCAATACAAGATTTGTGAAACGCAGAACCACAATTCACGCACACAAATGTTTTTAGTTCCTTACCACAGCAGTGATAGGTCGACATACCTCGCAGTAGTAGTCAGTGTACTAGCACATTATGTGCTAGCAAAATGACAATAATAATAATTAATAATAATAATAGTAGACTTACGATTTTAAATTATATAAATATTATTCATCTGGAAATGCATAATGAACATTTGATTATTGTGGCATGAGCCATGTTTGCATTTCATGTTTTCTATCAGCCTGTGCAATCTGTCTCGTCTATCCAGCAACTTCTTGCAGAGACATCACACACTTGCACATTTGCTTGCACTTCTCAGGGTAGGCACTCAGGGGCACTGCATCACTTCGCACTGTTTTCTGAGAAATGGCCGTGTAGTGTGGATAGAACAGTAGCATGCTGTATCCTTACTTGCTGCATGCACATTGTGCGTAGGCCAGCAATTTCTCTTACTGCTTGCCTGCCTGCACTGAAGACCTAATTATATCTCAAACCATATTATATTGTACTTCTATGTAAGCCTACAGAGGTAGACAAGTCAGGTGACTGTTCTGTGTTTAAAATTTCTTTTTGTTATGATAATTCAAATTCCTTCGTATTGCAGAATTTGCAGGGCGAGTCTTACAAGATGGACCTAATCCTCGGAATGGAACAAAATCTGACAAAGCCCATCCTCCAATTCATCCAATTAAATACACAAGTGGTTTATCAGGTATGTTAGTCTTTGAGAATCCACAATTCTGTAAACTTTCTCAAACTTGTTTCTCTTATTGTTTTATTGTAATTGAATTTCAGAATCAGAATTTGAGGGTTGTTTTAATGGATGTCTCATGAACCTTTGAAATTCTTTGCTCCCAACTCTAATGTTAATAGAGGATTATTCCAAATGCACAAATTAATATAGGATTGCTCCAAGTGCAAAACATTCAAAGCCGCAAGGGGCTTGGAGATGCATTGTGGCAATCCAGACGCAAAAAATAAAAAATAATAATAATAATAAAAAAAAATGTTCAAAGAGCTCCTTGTAAAATTTCACCTCAATTGAACTAAATATGGGCCTCTAGGCATTTACATTGCAAATTTTTCTGATGTTTTATATTTTTAATTTTTGAGTTAATTGAATAATTTTTTCACTTTCACTGGGTAAAATACAAGGTTAGAAACATAAGTTTCTGGCCTCCCTAACGTCTAGTTGTGATACAAAACAAACAAAAAATTGTCACCATTAAACATAATCATTCTTTACTTAAACACACTTTTCACATCAGTGTTTCACATCCCATTTCTATACCTGTTCAAAAAAATTATCTGATGTTTTGTTCACCAAATGTTAAAAAACTGCTTCTTTCACTCATTGCCATAGGAAAATGTTACTCTCTGAAGTATTTTATTCAGTTTTGAGAAGTGGTAGTTGTCGGTGGATGTCAAAACTAGGGTGGATGGTCCACTCTAGTTTTGGCTCCTAGACACTAGAGTCCTTCCAGTATCCTTCGCAATCTGAGCTCTGCAATTTTTTGTGAAGAAGCCAAACACCATGTAATTTCATGCATTGCATCTCACATGAGCACCTCTCTTAACAATACTGGTTAAGATGACATTATTTTACTAAGCAATTACTAAAGCAAAGGGACTGTTTACCTAGGAAGCAATACAACTCCTGGTTGGATAAAACAGCAGTTACCATATGCCATTGTATAAGAAGTTACATGTGTTCAAATTTCAATGTTTGCTATTCTTTGTGGAGTATAGTTTTCAGAATTATAAAATTCAAATATTTTACAAAGAGCCTTTGCCAATTCTCAAAATTGACTTAAACTAATCTTGTCAGGAATGACAGAGGCATATTATAATCTTGACCTCACTGGAGAAAAGTATATAACTTGCAAACATTGCAGAGATTTAAATTTTCTGTCAATTGCAAATAAATACCAAAGCATCTTATTAATAATTAGACATCATATGTTTAGGAAAATACCTGTTTTATTCTAATGAAAATATTTAAAGGCAATTAATATATGTATATGAATAATGGAAAACTAAACATTGTGATGAAATTTTATTTTGCCTTTTGTGTTCTTTTGTGACATAAATGTTTTTTTAGACATATTTTTCTTTTTAAATGCTTTTTCTTGAAATTTATATACATTTCTTTTTATTCTTGCTTATAAACACAAGTTTAAATCATTTTAGTTCTACTAATCACAATTTTTTTTCTGGTAACAAATCCCCGTTGTTTGTCTCTACTGAAGCTGTCATTTGAGTTTGCAAGTCACTGAATTTTTTTAACCAAAAAACTTGAATTGTGTCTTGAGAATGAAAATAAAACGCATGTCCAAACTTCTAGCAAAATGACAAATTAGCTTACCATCACAGCTTGGAATGCAAGTGGTCTTGAATCAAGAAGACAAGAAGTCGTATATTTCCTCTTTAATAGTAAAGGAGATGTACTTTTAGTGTCTGAAACACAGTTGACATCAATGAGTCATATAAGGATCCTGTATTATACTATGATTCAAAAACTGTCCTAGTGGAGAAGCTCACGGAGGTACTGTAGTCATAATAAGAAATTTTGTCACTCACCATGAAGTAGATAAATATTGTGAAGAACACCTGCTGCTAACGTCAATCCATATTAACGACTCACACGGGCCCTTAAGCATATCTGCCATCTATTGCCTGCCTAAGCATAAAGTGAAACAGAATAATTTCAAGAAGTTTGTTTAATCCCTTGGAATGAGATTCATTGTCAGCCGAGATGATAATGCAAAACATGAAGTATGGGGTTACAGGTTAAATACAACTAGAGGTAAGGAATTGAATAAAACTATTATATCCATAAACCTGTCCTACTAATCAATAGGGTAACCAACTAACTGGCCGTCAGATACCTGCAAAATTCCTGACCTTATAGACTTCTTTATTGTGAAGGACATTTCCTCCAACTTGAAATTGAAGCCTCGTTACATCTCAGCTCAAACCACAGTCCCATTGTTGTGTTCACATACTTTCACTACAAAAGAACAAGCTAACTTAACCAATTCAAAAACTGACTGGGAGAATTTCAGATATATATTGAAAAGAATCTAATGGTTCAAATTCCACTGAAGACTAAAGTTGAAGTAGACAATGCAGTTGAATACATCACAAGATGTATTCAAGATGCAGCATGGAATTCCACTCCAAATTTTTACACTAAAAATAATAATATATATTTCCCTAAATATATGAAAGAAAAAAAATGTCTGTTAAAAGAAAATTAAACAGAATCTATCAAGAAACAAGGCATCCACTTGACAAAAGAAATCTGAACAGAGCAACAAAGAAGTTTAAGATTGGCACTTCAAGAACTGAAGAATGTTGAAATATATAAAAATTAAGAATATATCCCCCTGTAAAGAATAAGATTATTCGTTGTGGAAGACAAGAAGGTGGTTTACAAGACCAATTGAACCAATGTGTCCTGTACGCAAAGATGATGGTTCATGCCCAAGAAGAAATACAGAGAAGGCAACAACATTTGCACATTTAACAAAAGTGTTCCAGCCATATCCACCCACTGACGCAGAAGCAGATCTTGAAATAGAAATATATCTTCAAACGCCCTTACAAATGTTGCTGCCTGTGAAGACATTCATAACATACGAAGTAGAAAGAGTAATACAAAACTTACTATCACACAAAGCCCCAGGTGATGACTTAATAAATGGCAAAGTGCTGAAGAATTACCTAAGAAGTACTAGTATCATCAATATTCAATGATATTTTAAGAATGGGATGTTACCCTTCTCAATTCAAGGCGGCTCAGGTAATTCTTATCCCAAAACCCAGTAAACCCATACATGACATCTCATCATATAGACCTCTCTGTCTTTTACCTCGAAATCTACCAATCTCGAAGGCCTTTTGGGAAACTGTATTTGCAACACTTAAATGTTCACATAGGTGAAAATAATCTTATACCTAGTTATCAGTTTGGATTCAAGAAATGTCACTCTACAATCGAACAAGTCCATAGAATAGTAAACGAAATAAATAAAAGCTTGGAAGAAAACAAATACTGTTCAGCTGCCTTAGATGTCACTTAAGCTTTTGATAAGGTGTGGCATACTTGTCTTTTATACAAAATCAAAAGCTTGTTACCTTCAGATATCTTTGACATTTTAAAATCCTTCCTCTCTGAAAGGTTTTTGCAAGTGAAAAGAATCATACAGCACAATATTTCCTGCCACGTCTAGCATGCCCCTAGGAAGTGTGCTCTTCCTGTCCTGTATTTACTGTATATAGCAGATCTTCCAATGTCTGAAAATATCATCACTGCAGCGTATGCAGACGACACAGTGGTTCTTACTCTAACTCATGAAAAAAACTCAGAATTGCTTGAACAACATTTAAACAAATTATCAACGGAATTCAAAAGGTGGAAAATTCAAATTAATGAAACAAAATCTTCTCATATGACTTTCACTTACAAAGAGAAAACGTGCCCCTGTTTGTAATGAATAATAAATTATTGCCACAGGTGGATACCAATACTTAGGAATACTCATTGTCGAACAACTAATGTGGGAAAAGCACATAGTAACAAAAAGAAAAGAATTGGAACTCAAGTGTTAAAAAATGTACTGGCGACTGGGATGCAAATCAACTACGACTCTTGAAAAACAAGATTTTGCTCTACAAAGTATAGTTAATGCCAATTTGAACATATGATATCCAATTGTGGGGTACCGCTAGCCACTCGGACATTGAAAAATCCTACAAAGATTTCAATCTAACGTCTCTCGTCTACGGACTGTCGCAAGTGCTCCTTGGTATATCCCTACTACAATCCTTCACAATGACCTACAAATAAAAACCATTAAAGGAACAATAAACAGTTTAAGTTGCAGATACCATTGCAGGCTTGTGAACCACCCCAACTACCTGAAACTCAACTGACTAGACTACAGCCAAGAAATCAGACGACTAGCAAGATAAGACTTGCCTCTTGACCTGACATCCACATTCAATTGCATTGCCACTGGCCAACATCTCTGTTGCAATATAAATTAATTGTTTTTGTATATTATTAAAATTCTCCAAAAGTTCAAATTGTAGATCTAATTGAGAATAAAGCAGAATTAAGAAAGAAAGAAAGAAAGAAAGAAAGAAAAAATTATGTAGTTGCAATTTATGTAAGCGTTACAAATACTGTGAGAAAGTTCATGCTTTCTCATTTACTGAAGAAATGTAATTTCAATGTTATTAATTTGGAATATTCATTGCTTTGAGCGTTTCATTCAGGGCGTAGAGACATTCTAATTTCTATCAATCAAGATTTATAGCAAAGATAAAAATTCTCAGAGTTCAGGAATGGAACAAAAGGTTATGAAAAATAATGAATATAATTTTAATTATTATTTACCATTGATAATTAATCCCAGTGTTAATGGGATTTTTGCTCTATTCTACAATTTATATTCTCAATCTATTGATTCTTTCAATCAATCTGCTCAATTGAAATTAGACCAATTAGGTTTTCGTGCCTAAAAATGATTTCAATGTAATATGAAACAAAAACTGAAAAAATTGAGTACCATAATTTTGTACAAACTTTTATTACGATAAGTTCATATTACAACCATACACAGTGTTGCCATACAATCTAGCGATGGATAGTCGAGACGTTATTCTAAGAATTCCATTGTGGGGCAGTGACAAGGATGGCAGAGAGATAAGGCAGCTTTATTTTCTTAACATTAATGTTACAATGTCTCTACGTTCAATGAAATGGTACATTCAACTTCATTAAAGTCAGGAAGACATGTATACATTCATACATTCATAAAGCAATATATTGGGTGGGCTTTAGTTCTGGATGTTTAATTGGTATGTAAAATTATCCTTGCTTGTCTGTATAATGTGCTGTAGTAGCTCCTCTAGTAATATAAATTTAATATTAAAAAAAAAAAAAACAACGACAACAACAAACAAACAAAAACAGAAAATTAGTTAAACCTGTATTTGTGAACATGTGTCAATTGCTTCTGGAAAGTGCATGTTAATCTTTGATGCATAAATATTTTTACAAATAATACCATGAGTGTATTCTTATCTTTGTTTTGCTTCGCACTATACCTCTTCAGAACTGGAACAACCTAGATCACATGTAGTCGCAAAATGTACTCAAATGCTGAATTTGCTGAAATTTTCGAATTTCGTTCTTATTTGTATCCGTCATTTTTAAAGAGTGGTTTAAACATGTGTGAATTGGCCATGAGGGGCCATGGCCCAGGCACACATGCCTTTATGTGTAATGTAATGTAGTAGTGTAGTTAAAGTGTAGTATATACGTAGTTAATCTTCATTGAATAAATTGATTTTGAACTTCAATTGTATTTATTTCATAAACTGCAGGAGCAAAGCATTACTGGGTTCACTAGTTTGAAAAAAAACACTTTAGATTATGTTTTGAAATTTGTTTGTTTGCAAGTTACCATTAATATAATCTCTAATGATGTTTGATATTTTGACTGATATTGTTGCTAAAAACTACGATGTTGTTTGGACTATAAATAAATTGGAGGAGAAGAAATGCAATTACTCTGACAAGTTTTTCCCTACATGAGCAGACATTTTGAGTGTCATATACTAATATTACGATAAAAATGTACATTGTAATGAAATTCAAATTAAATGGTAATGACTTTTTGTATTGGAATGTGGCAGAAGTATATTAAATGTTTTTGTCAAACTGGTGGTGTGTGATGTGTGCGTGTTTTTGTGTGTGCGCACGTGTTTGCGTTGTGTACGTGCGTGCGTGTGCACACGTGTCAATTTATTTATTTATTAGTTTATCATTATTATTGTTTTGTTGGCAGGTGCAGAGCAGAAAGTTTATGAATTTGTGGTGAGACGTTTCCTTGCCTGTTGCTCCAAAGATGCCCAGGGTCAGGAAACTATTGTTGAAATTAACATTGCAGATGAATTGGTATGATTCCGTTAAACATTATATTTATAATTGCTCTTACTTTTAGCATAATGGAGTTCTTACATTCAAGTTCACAAGGTTTCTCCCAAAACCAATTATTGTAATTTGTAGTTTTAAATAGGTTGTGTAATATATAAATGCAATTAATATAGTATATTATGCTTATTGGATTGATGAGGCTAGGTGAGAAGAATCAAAGGAGAGTCTTTGTGGTCAGCTATGGTGGTGGGTTGTCGGGGTAGCGTGGCAACCAATGGTTTTTTTTTTTCCAATCTTTTACTATGGTATATCAAGTCGAATGTCATTATCAAGTGGCTTCATTCTGCTGACATGAACAGTTTACCCAAACAACACTACAGGATTAAATTTTGCATAAAACTTGGTGGCATCTGGAGTTAATGCCATCCAGCGATCTAGTGTTGCACAAGTTGTTTGACGAATAATGAGTTTGTTGAAGGCAATGTCCACGTACGTGATTCACAGAGAGTTTGTGCCAGAGGTACAAACTATGAATTTGATTTTCTACATTGCTCTCTTTCTGTGAATGCGAAAAATAATTGTCTGTATCTGCCTAGCCATTACTCTCATTAACTTTCACTATGACAATACACAATGGTTTGTTGTAAAGGTGTAACTGGCTGACAACATGGTAATGTTATCTCAGCCACACCGCAATCCAGTCAGTCTCCCTGCCTACTTCCTCTTGCCCCGCATCAAGTCCAAGTAGAAATAACAACTGGTATGGTCCAGGCAATACAGCTGGCTGTGTTGAGAGAACTGAACAGAATTCCATTTGCTGTCTTTCAGGTGGCCTGCAAGGAGGGACAGAACCATTGGATGTGCTTTTTTGTTCAATTTGTCTACTTTTGGGAAAAACCTTGAGTGACCTTGAGTATAGGACCCATTTATAGAACTGAAAATTCAATGCACATATTTTGGTTAATATTTATTAGGGTATTTGATATTGGAAAAAAAGTCTTAGGTTTCTTACTTTTTTTTTGATCTCTTCTTTTTTTCTGTGCTATTTTACATCAGATTCCCTCTCCCTCCTTCTCGGGCTCCGATGCTCTAATGCTCTTTCTCCCTCCCCCTCTCACGTACACTCTCTTGGTCACTTATGTTCCTTTCTTCTTTTCTTATTTGGTTTCATAAGAAGTTACCAATATAATTCTTTTGATAATATTCCTTTCATCTACGTGTATGAAGAATGCTAGATCAATGTGAAAAAATCTGCACTGGGAAATGGTATCCTAAATACTATCATACTAGCAGTAAATTTAAATTTTCCTTTCAAGATCACAGCTGTGAGACATACGTCTTGCATTTATTGTTGGATTTTATGGCAATATATGAATAGGGAGAAGTATTAGAACTTGTACAACAGTGTTTAGCAATCAATCAATGTCATTATGTGACCCCAAAGCCAAGTGGTAATTGAATGTTTGCTCATTTTGAATTTTGTCTTTCATATTAAAATTTTTGGTTTAGTTTGTGGCAAATGGTTTAATGATTACTGCAAGGAATTATCTGGATGTTTATCCCTATGATAAATGGTCTGCAAAAGAAATTCATGTGTATGAAGTGGGTGGGCAGTTCCGGCCCAATATTGAAATGGCTGATGGCACCACTTCTCCCCCAAAATTACTCACTGAAGCAGATCTCATTGCTCTTATGGAAAAGCATGGCATAGGTAAGGGAATTATCATCACCTTCTGTTTTGAGGAGTTATTTTTGTGTTTAATGAATTATAATGATTTACCTAGGCACTGATGCCACTCATGCTGATCACATCGAGACAATCAAGTCAAGGTTGTATGTAGGGTTAGAAAATGAGAAGTTTTTTGTTCCTGGTCATTTGGGAATGGGCCTTGTTGAAGGTTATGACAGCATGGGTTTTCCAATGTCCAAGCCTAATCTTAGAGCTGAATTGGAGGCAGATTTAGTGAAAATATGTGAAGGGAGAAAAAATCCTGAAATTGTTCTGAAAGAGCAAATTCTAAAATACAAAGAAGTTTTTGAAGTGGCACTGCAGCAGGTAAAATTCCAATTCTCAAGGAATTGTATTGACTTTTTTATTGTTTTTTTACTTCTATTAAAGGAGAATTGTATCTTTTTCATTTTTCTTAAGAATATTTCATAGTTATCTTAAATTGTTTGTTTTAGGCTGCAAAAATTGATGAAGCTCTTGCTATTTATTTACAAGAACAACCCTGTCAAGTGGAAACAAGTGGCATAGTTATTGCTGACCTGCCAAGTGTTGTTTATAAATGCCCAGCCTGTGGTTCAGATATGGTTCTGAGAACAAAACGAGATGGCAGTGGGAAGTTTATTTCTTGCATGAGTTATCCACAGTGTAAAACAGCAGTGTGGTTTCCATCTATTGTCGAGGCCGTTGATGTATCCAATGACACATGTGCACAGGTTTGTTTAATTTGCTCTTGAACTCTTCTAATAGACATGTCTTCCTCTAGTATGTACACTACCTTACTACTTCGAGGTAGTACAGGTCTGTGAAATTGGACATTGTCTGGGAGTTTGTTATTTTCCAGAAATGTCAGTTTTATTATTTAAAGTCCCATCAACTTCTAGGTTGTTAGCGACCTCTATTGCTTGTAACGGTATGGTAACTGTGAGGATGACACAATATGATGATCGTAGGCGGTGAAAGGACGAACACAATACAACCATGCCCGAGGTGGGATTTGAACTCGCGATCCGTCGGTCCGAGATCGCTAAGGCACTACTGCCTTAGCGATCTCGGCCATCCGGACCGGCAAACATCAGATTTTGTTGCCGTGGAAAAAAATATTTTAAATATATTAAAATACAATTGTCATAATGTTTCTGTACTGAAAATGGAAAAGAGTATGTGCTCAAAATTGCTTTTGGGAAATCTTTGAAATTTTCTTTGTTGAATAATTTAGTGTTGAATTCATGTCAAAAGTAGTTCACTCTTAGAAAGTCCATTAGGTACTATTATTGTCTAGCTGTCTTATTTAAACAACATTAAAGAGACCATTATAACTCAGGACCGGAAAAGCTGAAAGCTTCCAATTTTTGCTAAAGTAAAGAATGATTCACTGAGTCTAATGCCTCACTAAAATCTGTGTAAATGCAGTTAACCCGTGATTTATTTTCTATTCATGATTTAGGATATATTGAGTGTAATGAAGATTCAAGATTCCTTTTACTCATGATTCCTAATTGTTTAGTGAGAACCTGTCAAGGTGGGTCAGTCCATGTCCTGACGGGAGGTTGCAGGGTTGGCTCTCAACTATTCCTATCTTTCACCTAGGGATACGCTGTCTACGTATTTTGGGGAATATTCCTTGTAGGTTTCCAACACACTTGCTTTGGCTTCTGACCCTTCTAGACTAGCGGTCGGGTGCTAACCTCCTCCCGATCAATCGGCTCGGAGTAGGTCTGGTATTCCAGGATGAGCGAGAGGATCCACGGCCGGGCAGCGCTGTGTCATCTCCCCACTGTATCTTCGTGTCAATCCCGGCACCCCAGTGGGGTGTCCCCTTGTTGCACTCCATGGTGGGTGGGGAGCACGGAGACGAAGTCGCTTGCCCTCTTTCGGAAGGAAGAGGCGATGTTTTGGGTGAACGGTGGATTTGAGTTGTTTTTTCCTTAAGGAAGAAGATAAACCAAAGAAGCCACGTTTCCTTTTGATGGCGTGCACAGAAGAAGGGAAAACATTCAAAGGTATTAGTGCGCTTCGTCTCGCACGAGCCATTGAGGACAGTTTCGGTAAACTCCAAGCGATATTGTGTCAGAGGAATGGTACCATTCCCTTCAAAGCACGCACTGATGAGCAAATCGAAAAAATCTCAAAAACTAAGCAGATTTCTGGTCTCCAGGTAGCAGTGACATTCACCCTACCCTTAAACTATGTAAGGAAGTGGTGAATTACGAAGACTTTGCTGAAAGTGAAGAAGAACTGGTCTTTCTTTAAGAGTGAGGGCCTAACAGAGGTATTTAGGATCAAGAGGAAGAAGAATGGGAGAGAGATCTCTAGTCCCACTCTGATCTGGTCGGACCCTCCACTCCCAGAGAGGGTTAGTTGTGGGTTTATAATCTCCACGTGCAGCAGTATGTGCCGAACCCCCTGCGTTGCTGCAAGTGACAGAAGTTCGTCCATGCCAACAGCTGAGGGAGAGGGAGATCCAAAAGATCAGAGTGACGGAGAAAGAATTTTCCCGAGGCGAAACGACGATACTTAGTGAAGAACCCTGTAGATCTCGGACTTTCATTTTCCAGTACTCTGGCCAAGATGGCAAAAGCAATAGCGAGTTGTCAGACTTCACCTGCTACTCTCCTGGTTGTTAATTTCTGTTGCCAGGTGTCTCCAGTGGACTTCCCTGAAGAGACAAGCCTCTCAAGGTGGGAAGATAATTTCCTCCAAATACAAAATGTCCAAGAATTCCACTTAGGCGAAGTCGGACCTAAAATCCTGTTCTCAGCCCCGCATGAAGGCCGATGTCACTCGGCCTTCTGGCTCAGACAAACATAAAAAAGATCATTTCTCCAAACTCCGACCACCTACCCGACTCCTGAGACTCGCTCTGAGCGATTTCTTAGCCCGTTGAGCAGTGCTCAGGAGGAATCTGCCTCGGAGGAAACTTGAGCCGGGGTTGACTTTCTCACGAAACGAATTAAAGCTGATAATGTTTCTTTATAGACCCGTTGTTATTTGTCTGCATGAAACACATATTTCTGAGCATTCCCTCTCTCTTCGTGGCTTTTGTTGCTACAGGCAAGACATTGATGATGGCCTCCGGGCACATGGCGGAGTCTTTACATTTGTCACAGACTCTCTAGTGTCCAAAGAAATGGACGTATGAACTACTCTTCAGAGATCTTGCGTTCACGTTAAGACAATTTCCGAACTATATCAATAACTATTTGCAATGTCTATATCCCCTTGAAGATAAGTTATCTTAGTTGCCCGCCCCTTTTCTTATTGTGGAGGACTTAAATGCCCACAATCCCGCCTGGGGTGGCACTAGGACCTACTGCCTTGTATACTTGAAAATATGATTGACAATCAAAAACTTAATTCTTCTGAATACCACTTCCCCATTCTGGTCAATTACGATATTCCCGGCCCAAACGTTGCTCTTCCTCCTTGCTCGCTACTTCACTGATCTGAGTGGGAAACATTCGAGAAAGAAATACGGATATCGGAAACCTGCCCAAACGATATCGATGCTATGGTAGCCCATTGCACTGAAGCCGTTCTTCATGTGGCCTCAATTGCCATCCCCAAGTCGGGTCACCCACGACATTCTCCCGTACCATGGTGGAATGTCGACTATGCCATCGGGAACGGGCATTGGCAAAGGTTAGTAGGTTCCCTACCATGGATAATCTGATCAATTATAAAAGATCACGAGCTAGAGCTAGATTGAATGTATGAAAAAGTAAGGCCACGTCCTGGAGAGTTTATATTTAATTACTCTCTTGCTGTATGCCCCCTCAATTATTGTGGGGACAGGTTCGGCAGATCGGTGGAAGACTTCCTTCGCTGTCTCTTTCACGGCTTCTGGTAAATGGAAATCTTCTCACTTTGCCAGAAGATATAATTGAAGAATTGGCCTCTCACTATGAGCATATCTCCAGCTCCATACACTACTCTCCTAGCTTTCTGAAGACCAAAAGGAGAATGTAGAACTGATGACTAGAGTTCTCGAGTCACGTGAAGGAAGATTGCAATGCTTCTTTTCTGTGATGAATTTTCCTGTGCCATCGCTTGTGCAAAAGATACTGCTCCAGCACCAGACCAGATACTTAATCAAATGCTTGAACACCTACCAGAAAATGCTTGTTCTTTTCCCCTTGCATTTTAAACTTGATTTGGGATGAACATTCCTTACCAAGGATTGGGAATGAAGCAATTGTTATTTCAATCCCTAAAGAGGGAAAGGACAGAACAATCCCTTCAAGTTATTGCCCAATCTCGCTCACAAGTTGTGCAAGATTTTAGAACAAATGGTAAACAAACGTCTGGTGCGGCTCCTAGAGCAAAGGAATCTATTTACACCTTTTCAGTGTGGTTTCAGGAAGCACAGTTCACCACTTAGTCTCCCTTGTCACTCAATCTCCACTTCTTTTGTGCTACGGCAACACCTGGTAGCAATTGTTTTTGACAAAGAAAGCTTGTGACACCACTTGGAGGTGGGACATTTTTCACACCTTGAAATCTTGGGGCCTTGGGGAACAACCCCCTTTATTTCTAAAAGATATTCTTTCATCAAGATCTTTCCACGTCTGCTTCGGTGACACGTTATACTCAAGTCCAGTTAGAAAACGGTGTTCCCCAGGGATCAATTCTGAGTGTCACTCTGTTTGCCATTGCTATCAATAGTATTGCATAAGTTATTGGAGAGCCTGTGAAGACAGCGCTCTTCGTTGATGACTTTGGCATATTCTGCTCATTGTCCTCAATAAATTAAAAGAATGGTGTGATAAAACTGGATTCAAGTTCTCCACCTCAAAATCGAGTTGAATGCACTTCTGTAGAATATATCACATCCATAATCATCCTGTTTTTTTTGGGGG